ATGGGTACAGCTCCATTTCTCCACCACCACCATCTCAAGGCTCTCTCCACATTTGTCTCATTCGCCAGTGCAGTCTCCTCACTCAATATATTACAGACCGCATGGCAGCATTATATCATCCAGATGCTCATCAGCACGTCACTCTGAGTGTTATTATGAGCATTACCACAGACCACACTATTCCTTTCGCCTTTATTACAGATCTCATTCTTATAGGCTGTCGCTCTCCTGTCTATCAGCGTGTTGCGGTCGAATCACATTCACAATAGCAGGAGCACCTCCCAACTCCGCCTTCACAGAGCCCTGCTGCGCAACCCAGCAGTCCAAACCGGAGTAGGGCCATTTATCTGAGGAGGAGGATCAACAACCTGATACATCGCCGACAGACGAATCCTCAACCTCCCCTAATGAAGCGGTTTTCCCAGGGGACATGTCCCCTCCAGACGACCTGAAACAATTTCAGGAGGTACAGTAGGCAGAGGTGCAGAGCAAGTAGTTCCGTCTGCTGAAAAACCTGCACCCTCAACAATGGTCAAAAATCGCGCTTCCTATTGACGAAGTGATTATGGAGGCTGTGGAAGAAATTTGCCTCTGCAGCACCAATGAGCAAGCAGGCCGACAAAAAATATTTTGTTCCCTCCACAGGCCTCAAATTTTTATTCAATCACTCACAGCCGAATTCTCTAGTGGTGATGCGGCTCAACACAGATCCAAGACGCCACAATACAGAAACACTGGCAGACAAGGACAGTAAAAAATTAGACATCTTTGGCAGGAAAGTCTATTCATCAGCCACTTTACTCCTTCACATCGCGAACTGTGCCACCCTGCTTTCCAATAATAATTTTGATAATAAGTGACTTTTCTAGATCAGCATTTATCTCTTAGCCCAACTGGGTAGGAATATTTAAACCTGAGATTTTCTGTTGGGCAATGCCCCCAGTCCACCCTCAATCCCTGTGCATATACTCTCGTTAGCAGGTAGTGAGCAACAGAACTAACTGGTCTTTACTTCATCCTCTCGGTAATTAGAGGAAGTGTAGCTTTTCGTTCTTGTGGGTTTTTTTAAATTATAGTTTTTTAAAATGTGTTGTCTTTTCAGGACACTTGTTAGTTTTATAGTCCCTACTTGAGGATGGTCCCAGCCATATACAGGCAGTCCCCGACTTACGCGGATCCGACTTACGTCGGATCCGCACTTACAAACGGAGCTTTCTCGCCCCGGAAGTCGGGGCGAGAAAGCCCCGTTCGTAAGCTGCTCCGGTGCCCCTGGTCTGCTGGAGACCGTCTCCAGCAGACCAGGGGCACCGGGCGGGTTCCCGCGCTTCTGAGGCTTTGCTCTGGCAAAGCCTCAGAAGCGCGGGAACCCGCCCGGTGCCCCTGGTCTGCTGGAGACCGTCTCCAGCAGACCAGGGGCACCGGGCGGGTTCCCGCGCTTCTGAGGCTTTGCTCTGGCAAAGCCTCAGAAGCGCGGGAACCCGCCCGGTGCCCCTGGTCTGCTGGAGACCGTCTCCAGCAGACCAGGGGCACCGGGCGGGTTCCCGCGCTTCTGAGGCTTTGCTCTGGCAAAGCCTCAGAAGCGCGGGAACCCGCCCGGTGCCCCTGGTCTGCTGGAGACCGTCTCCAGCAGACCAGGGGCACCGGGCGGGTTCCCGCGCTTCTGAGGCTTTGCTCTGGCAAAGCCTCAGAAGCGCGGGAACCCGCCCGGTGCCCCTGGTCTGCTGGAGACCGTCTCCAGCAGACCAGGGGCACCGGGCGGGTTCCCGCGCTTCTGAGGCTTTGCCAGAGCAAAGCCTCAGAGGCGCGGCACCCCGCTGCCGCTGCGGCTCTGCTCCCCGTGTCCCTGGTCTGCTGGGGGAAGGGGGCGCAGCTAGTGTGCCCCCCCCCCCCCAGCAGACCAGGCTTTTGTTTTGGACTCTGGGGCAGAGCAGCTGGGGCGCTGCCGATTGGTCCTGCAGCGCCCGTGGGCACTACTGGACCAACCCGGCAGCACCCCAGCTGCTCTGCCCCAGGCGTCCCCAAGTCAGCTTCTGCTGAAACTGACCAGCGCTGACTACAGGAAGCCCCAGGCAGAGTTGCTCTGCCCCGGGCTTCCTGGAGTCAGCTGCTGATCAGTTTCAGCAGCAGCTGACTTGGGGACGCCTGGGGTTCTTAAGTTGATTCTGTATGTAAGTCAGAACTGGCCAGTTCCGACTTACATACAGATTCAACTTAAGAACAAACCTACAGTCCCTATCTTGTACGTAACCCGGGGACTGCCTGTACCCTTTTTCGTTGGTATCTAGGGGCTGCTGTTGCTCCAATGTTAAGGAAGCAGCCTGAGTACTCTCAGGATAGTATCTATCCCAAAGTCTTATGCTGAAGAATCCAAAGGCTTGGAAGCATGGATTCAAAAACTTTTGAGGGGAAAAAAATCAAAGCTGGTCAATCAGGCATAGAGATGCTTAGACTGCAGGTTCATTTGATCTGACAAAACAATAAGCATCCTAGATCTTGGCATTCCACCAGCCAGCTAGTCACACTTGGAACTGAAGAAAGAAGTCTTTCTCCAGAACACTTTCTTTGGTGAGAGCAGCCTTGTGATTGGGAGCAGGTGTGGGTAATGTTTTCATACCAGATGCTGTCATTTTTCTGGCAGTTGTTACTCCAGTGCTATCACTCTGATTACCACCCACTCTTTTGAACTAGAATTCTGCCTGAGAATCTGGTTTATTAGTACACATAGTGCTCCTCTGAATGAAAAAGGTATAAAATAAGTATTTCTGTGAAACAGACTCAGTTCCCTCTCTGGTGTTGATGCCTAAGCTCCCATTCTTTCTATTTAGAGCTCTGCATATATATCAGGAGTAGCAAATCTAAGGCCTGGGGGCTTGATGCAGCCCCCAGCTTGCCTGGATCCAGCCCCTGAGGCTCAGAGCTCCCCTCCAAGCCCACTCCTACACTCTTCCTCCTGCTCAGACCCCACACCCGAAGCCTGTACCCGGCAGCCCCCTCCCACATACTGAACTAGAAATGTTAAGTGGTGGGTATTTAACTAATCGAGTAGTTGATTAGGACCAAACCCCGCTGCGGCTCTGCAATTTATAACGCAGTAGGAGATGGGGGCAGGCCCAGTGGGGTTTGGTCCCATACCTGGTGCAAGCCGAGACTGAGCTGGGCTTCCTGCCCAGCTTGCAGCAGCCCCTGTCCACAGGGGTCCCAGCACCAGCTCCTGCTTCCCCACCCACTTGCTGCCTCTGTATCAGAGACAGAAACAGAGGAGTGAATTTGAGTAGTCGCCTACTCCCTTACATCCCTATACTGTACCCCTCATTTTTGCCCCCTCCCCAGACTGTAGAGAGGCCCACAAAATCTATTAGCTTGTGCCCCCCTAGGCATGTGGGCAGTGTCTTTCTCTTTCTCAGTCAGGGGCCATGCCAGTGAGGGTTTGGTTGGTTTTGGTGTTGTTGTTTGGTTGGTTTGTGTCTTACTTTTGTGCAGCTCCCAACTGATTTTTCTGTGGGTCAGTGGCCCCCAACCCAAAAAAGGTTCCCCACACCTGATATTTATCAATGAGCCGTTCTCCCTGTAGTTTCCAGCTCAGCTGACAAATCTGGATGTATTATTATGTTGCTATCGTTTGCCTAAAAGCTGGATAGAGAAGAAGAATGCTGCACTCACAAAGTTTTCTAATTAAGTTATTCACTTTGGAAAATGAGGGAAAATATAAATATTTCTCTGAACCAGACTAAACAGATCAGCATTTGTAAATTGTATTTACTGAGGTAGCATCCATTATTGTGAAAGCTGAACACGATTTGCCAGCTTTGTCATTTCTTACCCAACAGTAGATGAGAGGACGCAGACCTGATCTGGTAAGCAATTTTACATTCAGAATAACATTTATTATAATCAAAATCTAGACCACTGAGTGACTGTGATGGGATGTACAAATCCCACAATGGACCACATTGGGTTAAGGGATTATTTCGGGCTAAGCCAACCCTGCTCTACCACAATGCCATCAAATGCTCAATCTGCTGGAGGAATTAAGACCAGGAAATAGCTCACTTTAGTGGCAGAGCTGGAAGTCAGCAGACCCATAACAGCAGTGTAGAGCAGAAAGAAGCCTAAAACTCTGACATAACAGCTCGAAGGGGCCCTCCTTGAAGGTTGGGAGGATCTACCCCAGAGAGAACCAGAGAGGTAAGTATCCTGTGGCTCTTGGACATTGTTAACATAAGAACAGCCATACCAGATCAAACCAAAAGTCTATATAACCCACTATTCTGTCTTCTGATAGTGGCAATGCCAGGTGCCCTAGGGGGAGTGAACAGAATAGGTAAACAAGTGATGTGGATGCATTGGAGAGGATCCAGTGGAGGGCAACCAAAATGATTAGGGGGCTGAAGCATATGACCTATGAGGAGAAGCTGAGGGAGTTGGGTCTGTTTAGTCTGCAGAAGCGAAGAGTGACTGGGGATTTGATAGCAGCCTGCAGCTTCCTGAAGGGAGGTTCCAAAGAGGATGGAGAGAGGCTGTTCTCAGTAGTGACGGATGGCAGAACAAGGAGCAATGCTCTCAAGTTGTGGTGGGAGAGGTCCAGGTTGGATATTAGGAAAAACTATTTCCCTAGGAGAGTGGTGAAGCACTGGAATGGGTTACCTAGGGAAGTAATGGAGTCTCTATCCCTAGAGGTGTTTAAGTCTCGGCTTGACAAAGCCCTGGCTGGGTTGATCTAGTTGGGATTGGTCCTGCCTAGAACAGGGGGCTGGACTTTGATGACCTCCTGAGATCTCTTTCAGCTCTATGGTTCTATGATTCTATGATCCATTCCCTGTGACTCATTCCCAGCTTCTGGCAGATAGAGGCTAGGGACATCATTCCTGCCCATCCTGGTTAATAGCCATTGATGGACCTATTCAGTGCTTGCTTTGTATAAAAAAGGGGGGGAGGGGGTTGGTATTAGGGTTGCCAGATGATTTCACCAAAAAAAGGGGGGGGGGATTTGTCAAGCAAAACCAAAAAACACGGAGGTGCCAAAATGCATTCGCAGCCCTTTTAATTGTCGCATGTCCCGCGGGCTTCCATCCAGCATGGTGCGAGTGCTCCCAGGGCCGGCTAGGTGCTGTGCTGGGGAAAAGCGGCAAGTGCTCCCCAAAAAAGGTGACGGTACACCGTTCCGGTGTGTACCATCACAAAAAAAGCACTGGACCTATCCTCCACAAACTTATGTCGTTCTTATGTGAACCCTGTTATAGCCTTGGCCTTTACAACATCCTCTGGCAAGGAGTTCCACAAGTTAACTTTGCATTACATAAGAAAATACTTCCTTTTGTTTGTTTTAAACTTGCTGCCTATTTTCATTTGGTGATCCCCTAGTTCTTGTGTTATGAGCAGGAATAAATCACACTTATTTATTTTCTCCACACCTATCATGATTTTATAGACTTCTATTGTATCTCCCCTTAGTTTGTCTTCTCATGGTAGCTGTTCCATACCCTTGATCTTTTTTTTTTTTTGCCCTTCTCTGTACTTTTTCCACTTCTAATTTATCTTTTTTTGAGATGGAGTGACCAAAACTACTGCAATCAGTGCTCAAGGAGTGGGTATACCATGGATTTATTTAGTGTCATTATGATAGTTCCTTTCATTATCTGTCCCTTTCTTGTGGTTCCTAACATTCTGTTCACTTTTTCGACTGATGGTGCACACTGAGTGCATCTGTGGTGTCCAACCAGTTCTAAAGCAGTAAACCAGTATTATGACTACAGCTATAACGAGCTAGCCACACTTACCCGGCCAAATAGCCATATGTGTCTAGTGGCTAGCATGTTGGACATCATGGGAGTAGATGTTTCCAGAGAACTATCCACAATGACTCCAAGATTCTTCTTGAGTGATAACAGATAATTTAGACCCGCATCATTTTATATGTGTAATTTGGATTATGTTTTCCAATGTATGCTACTTTGCAGTTATCAACACTGACTTTCATCTGCCATTTTATTTCCTAGTCACTCGGTTTTGTGAGATCTTCACAGTCTGCTTTGGGCTTAACTATCTTGAGCAATTTTGTATCATCTGCAAATTTTGCCACCTCACTGTTTATTCTTTTTCCAGATCATTTATGAATATGAAAACCCCTTCTTTCTTATCCCTTCACTGGGAGGGCAGGAATCCGTGGACTAAGATGAAGCAGGGGAAGATGAAGAGGGATGAGAGGAAGAAGCCTTGATTGCCAGTAACTGGCTTTGGCTCTCCCCCTCCCCCCCGCAACCCATAATCCTCTTGACAGTTAGGAGTTGTGGTTGGGTTCACTAGGCCTCGTTCCCCAACCAGCCCCCAAGTGAGCACTGTTACAATGACCAAAGAGAGAGAGAAAATAAAATGTTCATCCATAAAGTTTGTATCATCCTAGTTTATAAATTAATTAAAGTCATTTAAATAAGATGTTAATAATATACATGAAATATTGGTGCAGCCATGCAAAGAGGAGAAAAATGAACTTTTCTGTTTAATAATTTTACAAGTGTGAAAAGAGTAATGATTTGGTACACTGGTGTTCATTAGAATGCCAGAGCCCAGCAAGTTTCAGGTTGTTCTCTTTACTTCCTTTGTGCCATATAAATCTTGTGAGTTTAGCTTAGGTGATTTGTACTTTCATTCAGCCAAAGGAGAACACTTCTCTGGAATAAGCAGTAAAACACATTCAATTTTCTTTTCTTTTTTTCCTCCTACTTTCAGCCCCTAAAACACAAGACAAAAATTCTGATTGCAAAACAGAACTTACTACTTGACTTGAGAGTTTATTTTGATTTTTCAGACCAAGGTAAGCTTAGAAACTCTTAAGAATTCAGTGTCAATACTGGAAGTGATCCAGATGTGGGAACAAAAGAATAAAATATACACCAAATGTGTTTTGGAAGGAAACATTTTTGCAGAAACCCCACAAATCTGTCACTTGAACAGTTGTTTGTTGGTTGCAGCCTAAGGAAATAGTTCACATTAAAACAATACACCTTTTAAAACTAGAGAAAAAGGGCCAAAGTAGATATTAAAATAATGTGTATTCTTCTAACAGGGCCATAGAAAAGACTGGCTTGTGTTTGTGAGGATTTGTTTTCTTAGTTAAAATACAAAAGTGGGTCCTGACATGCCATATGATTACATTTTATATATCTAAAATGGATGTTTATGTTTTAGCTACTATTTTGATATTGTTCATATTTAAATGGCCCCTTTATAAATACTTCGTAAGTTCTCACCTCCCTTAATGTTGTCAAGTTCTCACCTCCCTTAATGTTGACAGTAGACTCAACAAACCAGATACAATAATAATTTACCAATGCCGTATAAACCCAGTTTGAGGGACTTCATGTTTTATTTTATACAGATTGTTACATTCTTAATGAAAGGGAGAAAAACTCCCTTATAAAAAAAAACACACAACTCCAGGCTTGGGAACCTAGAGATCTTCAGTCATCCTAAACTAAGCAAGTAGTATGGCAGTGTCCTGATGGGATCTCTTCAGTGGCACGCATATCTAGATGCTACTCTGTACTCACAGGTAGTTCCATGAGTAACTGCCATCCGTGTTGAATAAGGTTTGCAGAACTTATTTGCAAATTATAAAACTGAATTTCAGTTTACAGTATCACATACGGTGGAACTTTTTTACTCCATATGCGTAACACTTCTGCTAATCCACTGGTTTTCTGTAATCAGGTAAATGGGCACCCCCAGAAACTCATTCAAGTCCCTTTTACAGCAGGCTTTTTACTGTATTTAGCAGCTATAGAGGTATGTCTGCTGTAGCATTTTAGCAAAGTTTTAATCATAGTTAAAATTATTTCCAGCTAAACCAGCTTGTGATAAGTACCATAAACTTTTAAAATAAACAACTCTGTTTAGCCTGCCATGTAAGGGATACCGTCTAGAGCAATGTTTTAAACCGTTGTAATTCTTTTATCATTTTTCTATATTCCCAAACTAAAATAGGAGATTACCATAGAATTCTCCTGTATTTTTTCTGCACAATCTTCTTAAACTTAATTCCTGGTGAATATAGCCAATCCTCTTGGATCAGTGGGTTGTGAGAAGATGGGGTTTTCTATCTGTAGATTTAGATTTCTCCTGGGTTTCCTGCGGGATTGCATCTGTTTAGAACAAAACTTAAAATAGTGACTGGAAACCAGATCTTCTTCTTCGACTGATGTCCCTGTGGGTGCTCCACTGTTGGTGTCAGGCTCGTCCCAGCACCGCACATCAGAGTTTTGAACAGCAGTAGTCAGCTGGACCGCTCATGTACAGTCAGCATCTTGCGATGTTCGCGCCCTTTTCCTCATGCTCTCAGTCTGGCTGCCACCAGTTCCGTTGTTACTGGCCTGTCGCAGATGGAGCGATCTCTTCTCCTCAACTATTTAGTCACAAAAATAAGAATTCCGTAGTTAGTTACTTGTTAGTTCTTTTTCATAGTTTATAGTCGTAGTTAGTTACTAAATCATCATTCAATTAAAAATTTTTTTTGGCTTACTGGCCACTTTTCTGACAAAAAAAAAACAACAATCAGAAACAAAGAAGAGAGAAACAAGAAAGAAATACTTAAAGTCAAGACGGACTCACGATAGTTTCTCTCCCACAATGCTGGGCTCACCAGGTTTTAAGAAATGTGACATCTGTCACGAATCCATATCGGCATCAGACAGGCATTCTTCTTGCATCAGATGCCTCGGAGAGGCACATGTACCTCAGAAATGTCTGCTTTGTTCAAAAACCTAAATCCAGGGCTTGTCAAGACAGAGATATGTGACTCCATATGCTCCTGTTTGATAAAGCGCTTCAGCCTTCAGACTCGATATCGTCCATGGCTCCTTCTGACCCCCCCCCCCCCAGGGCCCAAAAATGCAGGGCTTCTTCTCCCACTACAGGGTCTTTACCAAAAAATTGCACTTCTCCGGCATGCTCGCTACCACCCGTACTGACAACCAGGATCAGCACTGCAGACAAGCCCGGTAGGTCCGGCACCACCTCCTCACATCCAAAGGCCCTCTCAGACCCGAAAAGCCATCCCAGGACACCGTTGGTACTGACAATGTGAACCGATTCTCAGTGCCTGCCACCGAAGGCACCGGCAGCCACACCTACAAAAACCCTGGCACTAGCACCATAGTCCATGGCACCAAAACTACCAGCCGCTTCGGCATAGGCATCCCACACCTCCCTGGCACCGGACTTGCCCGACAGGCCATCGGCACTAAGGAAAGAGCGTGCAACATCAGGTACACCTCATAGCCTTAGCCCCCCCTTGCCAATCTTCTCACCAGCAACGTCCCCTTCACCACCGGCACCGAGGTCATCACCACTATGCCACAAGTCTCTTTCTCCATTACCTCCGATGCTGGGGTGTGCTTTCCATTGCACCACCCAGCCAAGACACATGTCCCTTTCTCCTCCTTCCTCCTCCAGGGGCTCGATGACTCTTCACCACTCCGTGACCTTACCAGGATGTGCAACGTGTTGGGAGGAAAACAAGAGCGTCCATTCTTCTAGACACTCATCCCCAAGGCGTTCGTACCATAACCATCATAGGTACCAACACAGCCATTCACAGTTTGGTCAGCCGATCACCACTGGCACCACTCTTCTTATTCAAGACACTGGTCACCGACTACTGCAGACCCCCTTATCCGCAACACTAGGAGCCGTCCCCTCAGCCTACCCTTAGGCATTACAGCCCACCTCATATCCCTTCCTTCTCACTACACCATTTGGAACCGGAAGAGGGTCAGTTATCAAAACTCGATGATCAGCAGCCTTACACTTCCCCTACTGATCATTCCTCATCCTCTCCAGATGAAGCCGTCATCCCGGGAGATACGTCACCTATGGATGATCTTAAACAGTTCCAAGAACTGTTCAAAAGGATAGCCACTAGCCAGGAGGTCCAGTTAACTTAAGTTCAGGAGAAACAATATCGTCTCCTTAAAAACCTTCAACCCTCCCACCATGCAAAAATAAGCGTTGCCTATAGACCAAAAAGATCTGGCAGATCCCAGCCCCTGCTCCTCCTACCAATAAGAGGGCAGACCAAAAAATATTTTGTCCCAACCAAAGGTTTGGAATTTTTATTCTCACACCCACTACCTAACTCTTTGGTCTTGGATTCAGCCCAACATAGGTCAAAGACTCCACAATATAAGAACACTGCAGCGGAGAAAGAAAGCAAACACCTGTACCTGTTTCTCAGGAAATTATATTCCTCAATACTTTTATTATGTATCACCAATTTTGCCGCTCTGTTGTCGAACCACGACTTTGACAATTACACCAAACCACTAATGGAGCATTTGCCGGACTCCAAAAGACCCATCCTAAAGTCCATAGTCCAAGAGGGATACATGACTGCTAGAACCGAACTTCAGATAGCACTAGATGTGGAAGACACAGTGGCTCATTTCACCACCTCCGTGATAGTCATGAGGAGGTGCTTGTGGCTACAAACTGCTGGAACTGCAGACTAAAGTGAAGGACCTCCCATTCAACAAACAAAAATTGTTTGCCAAGAAGACGGACGAGGTCCTCTACTCCAGCAAGGACTCAAGGACCACTTTTTGTACCCTCGATATGTATACACCTCCATACCGCTGGCTTTGGTTTCTTCGACCATGAGACTCTGTTCCAGGCACAAGGATTGCTAGGAAGAGATGGTATCCACCTAACCAACAGAGGAAAGAGCATCTTCGCAGGCAGGTTTAAAAATCTAGTGAGGAGGGCTTTAAACTAGGTTCATTGGAGGACAGTGATCTAAGCACTGAGGTAAGTGGGGAAGTAGGATACTGGGAAGAAACACAAGGAGGAAGGAGAAACAAAGGAGGACCCCTGATTTGAATGGAGAAGGTAGGGCAATCAACTAGTTCACTAAGGTGTACACGAATGCAAGAAGCCTGGGATATAAACAGGAAGAATTAAAAGCCTGGCACAATCAAAAAACTATGATTTGATTGGAATAATGTAGACGTGGTAGGATAACTCACATGTCTGGAGCACTGTCATGGAAGGGTATAAACTACTCAGGAAGAACAGACAGGGGAGAAAAGGAAGAGGAATATGTATGTAAGGGTATGTCTACATTTGCCCCCTACTTCGAAGTATACCGAAGTTGCAAATCAAGCCCAGGATTTAAATATCCAACGCTTGATTTGCATGTTCCCGGCCGGTTGCCATTTTAGAAATTCACTGGCCCGGAGTAACTGCCCGCATCTACATGCGGCAGTGAAACAGGAATCCGATTTAAAGCCCTAACTCAAATTAGCTGGTATTCCTCCTGCAATGAAGTTTACCAGCTAATTCGAATTAGCTTACAAGAACTGGAAACTTAGACAGATGACTAGGCAAGAGTATAAATCTATTGCTCGAGAATGCAGGGGAGTAATCAGGAAAGTGAAAGCACAATTGGAATTGCAGCTAGCAAGGGATATGAAGGGTAACAAGAAAGTTTTCGACAGGCATGTTAGGAATAAGAGGGTGATCAGAAAGGGTGTGGGGCCCTTAATGGTTAAGGGAGGTAACCTAGGGTACGTCTAGACTACAGGCTTCTGTCGACAGAAGTTTTGTCAACAGATACTGTCAACAAAACTTCTGTTGACAAAGAGCGTCTAGACTACATTGAGTTCTGTCGACAAAGCAAGCTGCTTTGTCGACATGGTAGTGTAGACGCAAAGGACAGTTTACATTCAATAACACCTTCTGTCGACAGAAACTCTGTCGACAGAAGGTGTTATGCCTCGTAAAATGAGGTTTACCAGCGTCGACAAAACTGCTGAGTTCTGTCGACGTTATGTTGACAGAACTCAGCGGTAGTGTAGACGCAGGTATAGTTTTGTCGACAAAAGTCTACTTTTGTCAACAAAACTCTGTAGTCTAGACACACTCCTAGTGACAGATGATGCAGGAAAAGCTGAACTACTCAATGCTTTTTTTGCCTCTGTCTTGACAGACAAGGTCAGCTCTCAGACTACTGCACTAGGCAGATACTCTAGATACTGACCACTGTTGGCAAGGTACTGGGCTAGATGGACCTTTGGTCTGACCCAGTATGGCTGTTCTTATATTCTTACAGTGACACAGACATTCGAGTCCCTAGGTCTGATCATCAATGACCAAAAATCCCCACTAGAGCCAACCCAAACCCTAGAGTTCATAAGGGCTCACCTGGATTCCACCACTGCATGAGCTTATTTATCTATGCAAAGGTACCAAGCTATACGTAACCTACTTTCAATACTTACCTTAAGCCGTACGGTTCCAGTCCTCACATCTGCAGCTCATGGGCCATATGATGGCCACAACGTATGTGGTCCACCTCGCATGATTGCATTTCCGGTGCCGACAACATTGGCTAGAGTCGGTGTATGTTCCCACAAGACACCGTGTTCACAAGCGGGTCACACCTGCCGTAATAGCTTCCCTCAAGTGGTGGACCAAGCCATACAATCTCCATGCCAAAGTCCCATTTCATCAACCTCAACCATCTGTTCATATCACCACAGACACCTCTCTTGTTGGTTGGGGTGCCCATATCCATTCATGGCCTATGGACACCATGGGAAGCAACTCTTCATATCAACATCCTAGCGCTCAGGGCTGTTCTCAATGCCTTCAAGCATTTCAGAACACATATTTCCGGTGCCATGGTCAGAATCCTCACCGACAACATTGCTACGATGTACTATATCAATTGCCAAGGGGGAGCCAGGTCCTGCTTCCTTTGTGCAGAGGTGGTTTGTCTCTGTAACTGGTGTGTCCATAACAAGATCACCAGACCACGAATGGGAACTCCAACAAGATGGTCTCCTACAAATCTTCCACTGTTGGGGCTTCCCTCGAATAGACTTCTTTGTCTCCTACAAAAACTCGAAATGCAGACAATACTGCTCCAGAGCCAGGATCAGCAAGGGTTTGTTAAGCAACACTTTCCTCCTCAGCTGGGCAGGTCCATTGCTCTGTGCATTCCCGCCCACCACACTCGTCCTCAGAGTTTTATAGAAGATCAACAGGGGCAAAGCCAAAGTGATTCTCATAGTGCCTGTGTGGCCTCGCCAGCCGTGGTTTCCCTTTCTTTATTGGATAGCTCTCCACTCACCTTATCCCCTCCCCAAACTTACCAACCTACTGATCCAAAACCATGGGTCCCTTCTTCACCCGCAGCCTCATGTTCTCCAGTTGACAGCATGATTCCTCATTGGTTCTCGGACTCCATAGCACTCTGGAGTAGCTATCGCATCACTGAAAGTACCCCTACCAGCTGTCACCACCTTCCGACAGTCTATGGACGGCATATCCATATTTTCACTCCTTCCCACCAAGCAGTTCCTAAGGTGTTAACCAATCTCAATCTGCCCCACAGGTGGACAGCACCCCTCCCTATAGTCACAATGAACATGATTTTTCTATTGGCAATTACTCCTGCCCAAAGGGTCAGCAAGCTGGTGGCTTTAATGGCAGAGCCTCCATACACTGTCTTTAACAAACATAGTGTTATAATATGTCTTCACCCAGCCTTTATCCCTAAGGTATGCTCCAAATTTCATATTAACTAACCCATCATTCTTCCGGTGTTTTTTCCCACGCCTCACACCTCCATTTTGGAAGCATTACTACATACCCTTGATGTATGTAGAGCACTAGCCTTTTACATCAAGAGGATGCAGCACTTTAGGAAGTCCCACTAGCAGACCGCTCTAAAGGACAACCATTTTCCTCTCAACACATCTCGAACCTCATAGTTTCCTGTATGGAGAAGTGCTACACTCCGGTGTTTTTTCCCACGCCTCACACCTCCATTTTGGAAGCATTACTACATACCCTTGATGTATGTAGAGCACTAGCCTTTTACATCAAGAGGATGCAGCACTTTAGGAAGTCCCACTAGCAGACCGCTCTAAAGGACAACCATTTTCCTCTCAACACATCTCGAACCTCATAGTTTCCTGTATGGAGAAGTGCTACACCATCCGCAACAAGCCATTTCCGACAGCACCCAAGGCTCATTCTACCAGAGACATATCAACATCTATAAATATTTGCTGGACACCCACATGGTCTTCTAATGTACTTTTATGAAACATTACGATATACTGCACCATTTGGCCATGGACTCATCAGTGGCCTCAGCAGTACCTTTCACAGCTATTAGACTATAACTCCAAGACCCGCTGTCCAGGTGCTCTTGAACACCTGCTACGAAGTCACCAACAGTGGAGCACCCACACGGACTTCTCTCTCGAAGAAGAGGAATTTACTCACTTCGTGCAGTAAGGACAGTTCTTCAAGATGTGTCCCGCTGTGGGTGCTCCACTACCTGCTCTCCTCCCTGCTTCGGAGTCTCTGTTCGTAATTGTCTTTGTTTCAGATCCTTGTGCGGACGAGAGGAACTGGTGGGAGCTGGACCACGCACATGAGGAAAAGGGCGCAAACGTTGCGAGACGCTGACCGCGCATGTGTGGTGCAGCTGACTACTGCTGTTCAAAACTCCAATCTGCGGTGCCGGGACGAGCCCGAAACCAACAGTGGAGCACCTATTTCGAAGAACCTTCGTTACTGCACAAGGTGAGTAACTTCCTCTTTGGAGCCATTCCTACTCTCCACTCTGCAAGGAATTCTTTTGATGATTCAAACTACCAGACATTTTGACAGA